CCCCCCCCCCCCCCCTTTGACCTGTCTGTCTCCTCTTCACCTACCTTCTCCTTCATCCAACTTCTATCCGCCTCCCCCTCTCTCCCTATTTATTTCAGAATCCTCTTCCCCTCCCCCATTTCTGAAGAAGGGTCTTGACCCGAAACGTCAGCTTTCCTGCTCCTCTGATGCTGCTTGGCCTGCTGTGTTCATCCAGCTCTACACCTTGTTATCCTGGAGTATTGTGTGCAGTTTTGGTCTCCTTATCTGAAGAAGGATGTTCTGGCTATGGAGGAAGTGCAGCAAAGGTTACCAGTCTGACTCCTGTGATGGCAAGACTGACTTATGAAGAGGGCCTGAAGTATGAAAAGGGCCTGGATAGTTAGGACTATATTCAGTAAAGTTTAGAAAAAAGTGGGAGAGACCTTGTAGAAAACAATAAAATTCTAATAGGACTGGACAGGGTAATTGCAGGAATGATGATTGCAATGACTCAGGAGTCCAAAATCTAGAGTTACAGTTTAAGGATATGAAGTAGGCCATTTAGGACTAAAACGAGAACTTTCTTCACCCACAGTGTGGAGAGCCTATGGAATTCTCTGCTATGAAAAGTGGTTGAGACAAAAACATTGATTATTCTTAAGGAGTTAAACATAGGAACAGGGAACTGAATTGGATGATCAGCCCAGATAATATTGAATGGCAGAGCAGGCTTGAAGAATCGAATGGCCAACTTCTACTCCTGTTTTCTATGTTTCTATATATTGGCAAAACAGCAATGGTAAATATTTGTGGGCTAATGGAAATACCAGATGACCTAACTGGACATCTGTACAATACCTGTGTATTAACCTTTTGTAATTCATGTACCAGGATATCCAGATCCCTGTGTAGCACAGGGTCCTGCAATTTGTATCTCTACTTTAAAAAAAATATTGTATGCTGCTTTTCTGTGCTTCCTGCCAAAGTGGACAAGTTTACGTTTCTCACATTATACTCCACCTGCCAAACATTTGCCTGCTTACACATGATCAATCGATAATTTCTTTGTAGGCTGTTTACCTCCTCTTGCAACTTAGTTGATGACACACACCGAGATAAAGAATTATGTCATGATGAGCCTTTCTTATTTTTGTGGCAAATTCTGTCAAGATTTCTGGTTAGAGCAAAGTACATAATACATGGCTATACAGAGCTTATGTCATTAAGGACTGTACATGATAGAAAACAAGTTTCATTCAAATTATTAATTACTCCTGAATGGGAATTGTGTATGACAAGAGATTTGATTGCTGCTGAAAATACTTAACTAGAGAAATGTTTGTTCGTGCGAATTTGCCAAATTAATCATAATATCTGGATTGCACTGCAATTGCCAATGCCTTTTTTCTGATAACTGTAAATCAGAAACTAAGTTGTGTAGTCGGAAATACTGATTACTTTGTTTTCCTCATATAGCAAGGCAACTTGTCTGAAAGCGGCATGGAACACATACAAGCTTTGCAGAGTGAATATGACAGTATGTTGGTAAGCAGAAAATATTCACAAGGATAAAATCAGATTTTTTTTCAAATTTGGTATTTTATTTGAGCAAGTAATGAGTCTTGGTTTTGTTTTTATGTACCTCAATAGAAAGCTTCTGCGGAGAGACTTGAACAACTGAGAAAGCTCCAGAATATCATTTCAGCAACTTCAAATGAAATAATGTGGATCAATGACCGTGAAGAAGAAGAACTTGTTCATGATTGGAGTGATAAGAACACAAAAATTGCTGAAAAGCAAGAAGCTTTCTCTGTAAGTTCATAAATTTCAGAATACCACAAAACTCACCAAAGCTGCATTTTACAGTTACAAGTTGAAATTGTAAGTTGGCTCTTTGTGCTTCGTAGCCACTACTTCCCCACCCCCAAATAATTTAGATAGCCAGTAGGATATGGTGAGGTGACCCTAATAATAGAATCATACAGCATGGAAACAAATCCAACCAATCCATGCCAAACATAATCCTAAATTAAACTAATCCCACCTGCCTGCTCCTGGTCTATATCATTCCAAACCTTTCCTATTAATGTACTTATCCTAATGTCTTTTAACTGTTGTAATTGTACCCACATCCACCACTTCTTCGGGAAGTTCATTACACATGCGAACCACCCTCTATGTAAAAAAAATTTGCCTGTCATGGCTTTTCTAAATCTCTCTCCTCTCTCCTTAAAAATGAGCCCCATAGTCTTGAAATCCCCATCCTAGGGAAAAGACAACTACCATTAACACTATCTGTACCCTCATTATTATAAATTTCTATCAGGCTGCCTCTCAACATCCTGCGCTCCGGTGGAAAAAAAGTCCCAGCCTATCCAGCCTTTCTTTATAACTCAAACCTTCCATTCCCGGCAACATCCTGGTAAATCTCTTCTAAACTTTCTCCAGCTTAATAATATCCTTCCTATAACTGGGCGACCAGAACTGGACACGGCTGGAAATAAATCTTTGTGTTCACTTCAGAATTATGCATGTGGGTTGATGCCAAGCACTTTTAAAAGATAGCAAGAACTGCAGATGCTGGAAGTCAGAGTCGATACAGTGTGGAGCTAGAGGAGCAGAGCTGGTCAGGCAGCATCGAAGGAGCAGAAAAGTTATGTTTCGGGTCGGGACTGACTTTCCTGCTCCTCCAATGCTGCCTGACTTGCTGTGCTTTGCCAGCTCCACACTGTATCCACTTTTAAAAGATAATTGGCACTTAGTAACTGGCTTGTTTACCAAACCACACTTGAACAAAGACAAACACTTGTGACTATGCAAGCAACATTACTACTTCTGTCTGTGTACTATGTTTTCTCAAGTTTCTTTTTCACACTCTTCTCAGCCTCTTTCCTCAAATTTCTAAGTGGGTGAAATTTCAAATTATTGACAAATTTAATGCTTTCAAAATTGGAACTTTTCATCCACCAAAATAACTAGCAAAAGCTTCATGTTCAGCCAAAATTTTCTGTATTTTTCAATTATTAATGGGTAACCATCCTTATATCTTTTGGTTAACTTTGGAAACTAGCACTCCCTACATGAAGCTTTGCTTGGCAAGGAAAGATTGGACATGGAGAGGGAATGTTTCAGGTTTATTGTTTTGTGTTCTGAGTGGAGTTTTGTTATGCTTGCATCCTGTATAATTAACCTGTGGTAATGAATGCATAATTAGGAATATCAACAGTAAACTAGTCTCAATTGTAATAAAGGAACTAGGCGGGAAATTACAGAAAACAAACTGACCACTTTTTAAAAAAAAAACAACTTATGCATTTCACCAAGAACTGGAACATGGAAAGAACAGAATATGGTGGTGAATCTAAAATGTCTTCTGATGATAAATTGATGAGCTTCAAGTGTTTTACACATTGTATCTCTAAATGTCCTTGAAATCCATAAACTAGATAGTAAGAATGGTTCTCTATTTCAGAACATATTTGGTCAGTGAATTCATCCTTATTTTCTCTGAACGCCTTGCGTCTTTGTTTTGAATTACCCAGGGACTGGGGAACCTGTAGTTCTGTTGCCATCTGAACAGCAGTGCCTCACAGAGTTGACTTGGATAACGGAGCAGATGTGTTATCTATTGTTCTGTGTAAATTGTTGTGATCATTTGAAATTTGGCATTCTTGTGTTTGGCCTAATGAGAACCAAACAGAAAGCTTCGGCAATATTGACCGTTTGTACTAACAAATGACTGCTTACTGCTTTGATTACCAGCATCTTGTGTTTAATTATTTAAATTTTACTTGCTTTTGTTAGATGATGATGAGCCAGTTGGAAGAAAAAGAAAAGCAGTTAAACAGACTCAAACAAGATGGTGACCAGCTAATAGCAAATAATCATCCCGCAGCTGACAAGATTGAGGTGGGGGTGCCTGGATAATCAATTATTTAGAAGTAATGCAAATCTTGACCAAGTATAGTCAAGTTTACTATCAAGTTTAAAGATGGAGAAGTGACTGCTACGTACAACTTCTCTCAAAAATATGAAGCATGATCACTATTTTCTAAAATAAAACAAAAAACTGAAGATGCTGGAAAACTGAAACAGAAACAGGAAGTGTTGGGGAAACTCAGCAGGTCTGGCAGCATATGTAGGAAGAGTAACAGTGTTAATGTTTTGAGCTCAGTGACCTTTCATCTCTCTCTCTACAAATATGCCAGACCTGCTGAGTTTCTCCAGAAATTTCTGTTTTTCTGTCACCATTCATTACCGAGGTGTTTGTATGAGATGTTAGTTATAATTGCTCCAAAGCTGAAAATCTGATCGGATGCGATGGTTATATCACATGTTTTTACTATTTAAGAACATGTTTAAAGTAAATGAGTTCATGTCACAGATACAAAAGTGCAGCAGAGATCATTGTTGATAATTGCTGAATTCTTCATTTGTCGCATTTGTAGAATAGAAATTGCATTGTTTGACATGTAGTGAAGACTTGCCCACTATTCATTTCCTATCTTGATCACATTTATTTTAACATATTAAAAGCCGAGAAATAAAAAAAGACTTGCCATCCAATTCTGAGATAACAAGGTGTAGAGCTGGATGAACACAGCAGCCAAGCAGCATCAGAGGAGCAGGAAAGCTGATGTTTCGGGTCGAGACCCTTCTTCAGAAAATGCCATCCAATTCTGCCTTGAGTAAAATTCTGTTTCAGTTGAAACATTTTTTTAAGAGTCAGCATGTGTAGACCAAAAAAATTTTAATGCTTAGTATTTAAAACCATTTTAATTGTGATTCTTCAGTTTGCAATACGACAGAGTCGCTCTCATTGTCAACCCAATTTAGTATTTCCATTTGCAATACAATGGAAGAAGTATTAGCATCTATAATTAATGTCATTGCATCCTCTTAAATTGTCAGTTCACATTTCTTACGAGACATTTTTGTTCTCCCACACATTGAACACACAGAACTATTGGATTTGCATTTTGGCAATGCCTGCATAGTTTTTTTTGTTTAAAAAGTAGCCTCATTTGTTTTTGAAGAAGATAAGTTTTGATTTTTCTATGTTAAACCCCACAGAGACAAAGCGACAAATGCTGAATATTTTAATAAAAACAAAAAAATTGGAATTAAAAAGGAGTTCATCACCTTGGGGAGGGGGTTGGATAAAGAGAGAGTAACCTTCAGTTCATATAGCTATGTGGTCTTTTTAAAGATATAACATCTGATCGTATATACATATGATGGATCATCTAGGTTTGTTCTCCAAATGACCTAACACTAGGACCCAAAATGATATTGGTAACAAAGATTGTATAAAAATAATAAATTTTGTTGTTGAAAATTATCCACTTAATAACAATGTCATTTTGCATTCAGTCTACGTTATATATGTGTATATTGATTGAGAAATCTGTGCACTTTTTAATAAAACTGCAGGCCTACATTGATACTCTGCAGACACAGTGGAGTTGGATTCTCCAGCTTACAAAGTGCATTGAAGTTCATCTCAAAGAAAACTCCAATTATTTCCAGGTATGCTATCCAATTCAGCAGACCAATTGATTTAGTTTAAATATGTGCCTGCCTCCCGTACCTCGAGCCTCAAATTACTTTATTCAGGCATATGCAAGGAGAAGATGTCTTAACTGAGCTGAAACATGAGCTCACTTATTCAATTGCAAGCAAAGGCTTTATGCTTCATTTGCATCGATTACATTACCAACTAATGTGTTTTTGCAGCCATCCAATTGAGACCCTGCAGGCTGTTCATGCAGTAAAGCATGATCAATGGCCAATCCCATCAGGATTCATTTGAATACATTACACTGACCAGTTGCAGTTATGCTATGTATACCATAGGAATTTACTGACATTCCCTTTTAATTCCATATTAGGTACTAGCTACATTCTTGTAGTATCTCTTAGCCTTCCTTGTGCCTTCCAGACACATAATAGTCTTATATAAACTGTTTCAGAAGCTTGTTGTATTGTTCTCTTCAGTATCCTATCAGTCTGGATAGTTGTCGAGATGTTGTAGTGCATGCTTTACGATGTGTTATGATCCTGGCTGATGCGACTGGATGAGTCATATTGCTTAAGATTCGATTTTGACAATTTCTAATGACAGATGTTAAATTAACTGGTCTATAGTTTCCTATGTACTATTGCCCTCCCTTTTTGAATAAGAGCGTTCTATTAGCATTATTCCAATCCACTGAAATCTTTCCCTTATCCAGGGAATTTTGGAATATTATAATCAGTGGATCCATATTTCTGCTACCACCTCTTTTAAGACCCTAGAATTTGGCCATCAGGCCTTGGAACTTGCTGCCCTCAATCCTGATGGTTGGTTAGTACTTTTGCCCTAGTGGTGTTTATTGTTCTAAGTTCCTCCCTTGACGTAACCTCTGCATTACCTGTTACTGTTGCAAATGTACGAGTGCCCTCCTCTGTGAAAATATTGATTGTGTCTCTACCCTTTCTGTGTATTCTCCACAATTAACTCTGAAGCCTCACCCTCCAAAGGACAACATTCTTTTCAGCTGGTCTCTTTCCTCTTCTATACTTAGAGAAGCTTCTGCACCCTCAATCAGTCAAACTATGGCATTTAGGTGGGGGCCACGCCGTGTATATAAATGATGAACAGCTACAAATTAATTGTGATTCTGCTTATGCTTATAGTACAGTAATTCATGTGCTGTGCTCATTTTATAGTTTTTTGAAGATGCTCAAGCAACTGAAAATTCATTGAAGAAAATGCAGGATTCCCTAAGAAAGAAATTTGTTTGTGATAGGTCGGCGTCACTGCCACAATTGGAAAAGTTGATTGCAGAATCCGAGGTATTCAATATGATTTTTAAAGTGGAGTTTTTTTGATGTGTAATGTTTGATGGATTATGATATTGGTTAAGCTTCTTAAAGATCTGACATTTAAGCATTAGGCTTGACATTCCTGCAGCTTGCTTTGTGGAGTGCCTGTTCTCCAGGTATAAACTGCTGGATACCTATTTTGTCATGTATCAACGCCCACCACCACTTTAATGTGGCACAGACATTCCTAGGGGAGTGGTGTCTCTGACCCCTGTTGTTCAAGAGCATTCATAAAGCAAGAAGGTTGATGGTGAAACCTACAGCTGCAATCTCAGTAGTGCTTTCCTCACTTTCACGATTCAAGGGTCTTTTGGTGTGATGATAATGTTCTGGTGCAGAGGGTTGGGGTTCAAGTCTCATCTGCTACGGAGATGTTACATAACATGTTCCAACAGGTTGCTATTTTTAATAAATTACTTCTGCCGAGGCATTGGCCTGTATCAGATTTGTAGCATGTTATTATTAACAAACAGCGACTTGGTCATAGTTCAGTTGAATTTGTAGCAGGAAGGGATTGGAGAAATCCAAGCATTTAACTTTGTGGGTTGTTACCTTTGTTCAAGTGCTTTTTAACATGAGACATTAGCCAGTATTCAACCATACAACTGCTCAAACCTCTGCTGTAATGTAGTGGCATGTTTCCAAGAGTATGTGATCCTTGGTGACCTATTTCTTCTCGTTCCTTTGTTTTTCATTTATGATATATGTTTTCTTTGATTTAATTTGGCAGAAAGATAAAGAGAAAATCCATGAATATAAGAGACAGGTGTCAAACTTGGTAAATAAGTCCAAGAAAATAGTACAGTTGAAGCCACGCAATCCCCCGATTAGTGCTGACCAACGAACTTCAAACCAAATCGTTCTCAAGGCTCTTTGTGACTACAAACAGGATCAGGTACAATTTCTGCTGAACATTTTCTAAATGGCTCTTATCAGTTCAGTCACTTTTGAAATCTTTAAAACAACCAGTGCAAAGTGGGATTTCTGTTTTTAATTGATGAGATGCTGACTAGTAGATTATGTGTTATGGAAATAGTTGCAATAAAACATTGTTGTTGTTTAAAACGTTGAGGAAATATATTTGATTTATCTCGTTAACATAATTCACTGGAACAAGTGGGAAATGTCTAGTCAAAATGAGAAACTATCCATTGTGTAATTTTAAACTTAAACTCGAAAGTATTCAAATCTTCCCTCAACACTCCAATATTGAGCACCAAGAAAGTTTAATTAAAGTGTTGTCTTTTAGTTTACCTTGATTACCTTTTGTATTCTTTCCATATTGGCTCAGTTAAATGTAAAGTGAACTATAAAAATACGGTGACTTTGAAATAATCAAACATCATAATTAACCCTTTGGGTGCTATGACTAAGTAATCAATGTTTGAACAAGATGTAAACCAGTAAAGTTATTGAACAGGACGTAAATCAGTAAAGTTATTTGTGACATTATTTTTCATGAAATTTGAGGCCGTATTTCCGCTCAAGTTCAAAAAATTGTGCCGAAACTTCAGCATAAATCTACTCTGACTAGGGTTGAGTCAAGTCTGTTATAATTTTAGTGGCTAGTAATGGTGTGCATATATGTTTGTTTTCTGTGCTATCAAAATTGTCTAACAGTATAATTCATTTATAAATGTATTCTTTTGAACCTTAGGTTCAGGCTGTAGTTTTGTTTTTGTGTCTTTTTTTGTGACATTAATGGGGAGGTGGTGGCGCAGTGATAATGCCACTGGTCCAGTAATCCAGTGTCACAGATTAATGTTCTGGGGACATGGATTCCAATCGAACCAATGGCAGATGGTGAAATTTGAATTCAGTAAACATCTGGGCATTGTCCATTGTGTTATAAATACCCCTGTGGTTCACTAATGTCCTGTCGGAAAAATCATCTATCATTCTTTACCTGGTCTACTTGTACCAACATTTGAGTCCACACAGCGATATGGTTGACTATTAACTACCATCTGAAATGGTCTAACCAGCCACTCAATTCAAGGGCAGTTAGGTTAGCAATAAATGTTGGCCTTTCCAGCAATGCATGATGCCAGTGAATGTACAAAACAAAAATACTGTACAATCAATATTTTATGGATTTTGAATTGGCCAGTAATTTGAATAAGCAGTTGTACTAAAACTTAATTGAAGACTATATTTAATGCAATTTGAATTATCAAGTAATTGAAATTCAGCAATTTTAAAATGGAGTAGACTGCACTAGTGCTTTATATGTTAGTGATTGAGAGCCATTTGAGACTCGAATTAAAAGTATCTCCCAGGAAACCTTGTACCAAATACTGAATGCTGACAGTGCAGAAAGAGACCATTTGTCCCATCGAGTCTGCACCAACCCTCTGAAGAACATCCCACCCAGCCCTAGTCCCTGACCCTATCCCTGTAAATCCCCATTTTACCATGGCTGATCCACCCAGCCTGCACGTTCCTGGACACTTTCGGATAATTTAGCATAGCCAATCCATCTAAATTGCACATCTTTAGACTGTGGGAGGAAACCAGAGCACCCAGAGGAAACCCACGCAGGCATGGGGAGAATGTGCAAACTCCATACAGACAGGCACCCGAGAGTGGAATCGAGCCCAGGTCACTGGAGCAGTGCAGGTGGTTTTTATTTCCTGTAGTTGGAACTGATGTGCTTAGTTACAAAATGTACTCCCTTGTGGATTCCTTAAGGAGACATAATTTTCTTTTAAATAATTTTCCTGTAATCCTAATATACTAATTCTTTTTGATTTGCAATTTTTAGAGGGTCGTTCATCGGGGAGATGAATGCATTTTATTGGACAACAGCCAGCGCAGCAAGTGGAGGGTGATAGGACCTGGGGGGATGGAAATGATGGTTCCATCGGTTTGTCTTCTCATCCCACCTCCAAATTCTGGTGCAATTGACCTTGCAAACAAGTAGGAAACCCTATCCTTGTTCCTTTTGTTTGTGATGCTAAGTTATGAATACAATTTTGGGTGCTTTGTCAATTATTAAAATGGTGCTTTTTGTGTATTTGAAATCAGAATTGATCAGTACTATGAGGCTATCCTTGCTCTGTGGAATCAATTGTATATTAACATGAAGAGCTTGGTGTCTTGGCAATACTGCATGATGGACGTTGAAAAGATACGCAGCTGGACCATATCAGTGGTAAGGACTTCTAAAATAAATCTTTGTTTATTCTTGAAATTTTATGCATTTTGAGAAAGTTCATGGAAGTAAATGAGGCAATACATAATACTAAACATAACAAAAGTGTATGTCATTCACTATTGATTAATGGAGAGAGTAAAGTCCCACGTTAGCTGTTACAGCACTCCTCTTGGGGACAAGCACATTTCCTTGGAGGAAAGGGAGAAGGAAAATGGTTATGGATTTGGCTGTGATAATAATAGGCAACTGTCAGCGCTTGCCATCATTATTGCACTGAATCTATTGGCAACTTCAAGAATCTGAATGAACGCAAGGTAAATGTGGAAATTCACATGTTGCGGTTGGGTCATCCACATTCATGTGGTTTATTGTACAAGTTCCTACCGGATGCAGTCACGATTTAGTGACAATGCCCATATTTATGCTATTAATCCAGTTCTAAAACCCTTTTAAAACTTGCATTTTGTGAAATCAGGTAACTGAATTTTTAACATCCTAATAACTTTATAAATACTGCAATGTACCCTTACTGCACTGAAAAGCAAATTCTGTTTTTGTGGGATGTAACATTTCTTGACCTTGACAGCAAAAACTCCACACTTGAAAAAGAAGTATTTTTCCATTCTACAAAAATTTTGTTTTATCTTTATTTTATCTTCTAACTTAATACACTCATTTGTACTGTTGCATTTTCTTACCTGAAAATTTAGATAGATAGTAAAGTATTTTAAGTGCTTTTAACTTCCTGTTTCGAGGTCAACAGACATACAGACTAGGAGCCATTTCGCCCTTCAAGTGCACTGCACCATTCAATGAAATTATCTTTTAAACTCCACATTTCCATCTACCTCTAATAACATTTGATTTCATAGCCTAACAAAAATCTATCCAACTCTGCCTGAAAAGACATTGCCTCCACTGCTTTCTGAAGCAGAGTGATCCAACGACTCTCAGTCAATTGAGAGAAAATAAAATCTCCTTTATCATTATCTCCAAAGAGTGACCCCTAATTATAAGAGTGTCTCTTATTCTTTACTCCCTCACAAGCAGAGATATTCTTTCTACATCCATCTTGTCAAGACCATTCAGGATCTTTTCAGTTTGAATCAAATTGCCCTCTTTTGAATTCTAGTGAAAGCCAGACCACCCTGTCTAATATTTCCTCGTAAGACAAGCCATTCATTCCAGAGAATAGAGGAGTGCAACGAAAGTTCATCAAACTGGTTCTCAGGATGGTGGGACTGTCCGATGAGGGGAGAATGGGTGAACTGGGCCTGCATTCTCCAAAGTTGAGGAGAATGAGACGTGACCTCGGTGAAATCCATAAAATGTTTAAAGGGTTTATAGTGTAAAATATTTCCCCTGGTTGAAGAATCTAAAAATCAGAGGGCACAATGTAAAAATAAGGGAGATGCCAGTTATTCAGAGGGATGTGAATCTTTGGAATTCTCTAACACAGAGGGCTGTGGAAGCTCAGTCATTCAATATGTTTAAGGTACGTTTTGATAGTTACCAGTGGCTGGTTATACATGGTTATGAGGATAGGTGAGTAAAAGGCATTGAAGTATTTGGTCAGCTATGATCATGTTGAATGGTGGGACAGACTCAACTAGCTGAATCCTATTGCTGTTCCTATTCTGGTTTGCTTGGTTGCCTACTTGTGAAGACATAGCCTTTGACTTAACACCAGATTCTCACCAGAAGAATTCCTAGATCTTTGGGTGTAACTTTCTTTTGAAGTCAGTGTATGGTACCCTTCCTTTGCTGTTTATTGTAAAATCCACACTAATGATCTGCCCAGCTGCAGTGAATCACCTGCCTCTTTTAGTTTATGAATTCATCTATAAGTCAAAAGACCACCTATTCTCTCCAACTTCATTTCTGAAGAAGGGTCCTGACCCGAAACGTCAGCTTTCCTGCTCCTCTGATGCTGCCTGGCTTGCTGTGTTCCTCCAGCTCCACACTGTGTTACCTACTTTCTCCATTGTGTGATTGGACTTAAAATATTTCCACGAATAATTTTTAAAGTTCGGAAGATGAGATGGGAATGAAAGCACAAAACCTATTTCTTCACCCTGTGTAGCTTTTGAGGAAATTTTTGACCTCTTCTTCTAAACAGTCTACTTGTTTCAGGATTGCATATCAGAAATTTGAGATTATGTTATTCCTGCTTTTCACATCTTTCACTTAAATAGTGGGGAGCTCACCCACCGCTCTCCTCATCAAAGAGCTAATGTGAATTGCTAGGGGAATTAATTTTTTTTAAAAATCCCTTGCAAGTAATCTCCCTCTTTTGTGTTTTTTCAGTTACGGACAATGTCTCGTGAGGATTATGAGCTTGTCATTAAAAATCTGGAAAAGAACTTTCAAACTTTCCAGATGTACAGCAAGGATTCAGAATATTTTACTGATGCAGATAAGAGAAAACTAGAATCTGATTTTGGCTCAAGCAAGACACACTATGTAAACTTAGTGACCGTTTTGGAAGAAGAAAGAAAGCATGATCGTGGTTTGTAACATACACTGTGATGCCTTCTATTGCTTTAAGGGGTTGTATAATTTTATTATTTTCAAAGATAGAAGATGACTCTCCACCATAATCAATGTTACAGTGTTTTAGTTGCTTGCAAGACCAATAAGCCTCAAGCAAACAGAAACAGAAATTGCTGGAGAAACTCGCCACATCTGGCAGCATCTGTGGCGGGAAAATAGCATCAAGGTTTCAAGTCCAGTTCTGCTGAAAGGTCCACAGATGCTCATCTTGAGATCAGTGGTTCATTTTTTTTGTTTTAGCCTCAAGCAAATGTTGAAATTCAAAACATTTCTTGCCTCCCATGTTTTCCATACTTCTGTCGCATATCTCCTACTGCCCAGAGTAAGCAGAAATGTCATGAAATGATATCGTGATTAACCTAATAAAACAGCTTAGTAACTACCTGGTTAAGAAAGGAATTGAAAGAAATTAAGATGAGAATACTTCAGTTAATCTAATACCATATATAGCAGGGTGCTCCTATGTTGATGGGACTGTTTGAATCTTACTTGAAAAGGAACAGGTTTATACAGTTTGAAAGTTTGCATTAATATTTCAGAATTGTTTTGCATTTTGAGGGAATGGAGTGTTAAGAAGACAAATGTTGTTATCTTTCTGGACATTTGCATTCTTTGTGAATGGTCATCTGTTTCATGAGACTGGGTAGGATCCATGAAGGGGCAATGTTTGTGTGTTCTGTGAAGTTATTGGCCTTGCTAGAGTTATTGCTTTTCCTGATACCAAACTTTATATTGTCTTGAAATACAGGACCAATAATAATACCATCTGTTGCACCAACACAACAGTTCGCACCACCAAAGGTTGACATGAATTTCCAGCAGGAGCTCCAAAAGATACGTCGCCGTCTGGAACAGAATGAGTATAAAATGATGCAAAAAGTACATCTCCTCATTGATTCTGATGCACACATGGACTTTGCACAAAGGATATCTGAGTTGGAGGTGAGTGTGCAGTATCAGAAACCTGAGAGATTTTACCTTTAAAAAGTAGCTCCTTTTATGACTCATGCCAACCCATGGTCTCTTCTCATTACATGTTCTCCTGTACCCTCCATCCAATTATCTACCATGGGCTGATGTCAGCATTCATTGTGAGATGCTCACAAAGTATGCAGCATGGGCAGATGTCTGGACCCATTCTGCGATTAAATAAAATAAAGTTTTTAAGCATCTATCGATGACTTTATGTTTTTTTAAAAGGAAATATTTTGAGTTCCTTCATTAATATAATGTATGATTAAAACAAAGACTTAGATTCATTGCCCAGATTAAAGGCATTATCATCTATTGGACTGGAACTGTCAATCAAACTGTGAACTGCCCGGTATCTCATTATGAGAATGATAAGGTGTAAAATCAGTGCTGCAGTCAAACCCATAATGGTGGCCCTTGGGCTTGAGTCTGAATGAATGAGTGACTGATTGAAAGAATGAATGAATGTATGAATGATTGATTCAACCAATGAATGATTAAATGAATGAATGGATGAATGAAAATAGCAGCACGGTTATTTTTCTTGAAACTGCAGATTTTTTTTCACATTTAATTGCCAAGTGTTTTAAATGCCTTGATAGCTTGACAGTTCCAAAGAATTCATCCACTTTTTAGCAGCTGCCATGTTCACTATTGACAATCCCAGAGCTCACCTGCTCTCTTCCAAAGTGAATATTACCTCTTCTAATGGTTATCCTGTACTTATGCAAAAAGCTTAACATACTTCTCAAACAAATCATGCAGCCTTAATTTCCTTCTTCATGTTGGGCTTGACAGCACACCAGTGAAAATTGAGTGTTTTTCCAGGAGCTGCACTTGAACATAGAACTTTAATCTCTGTGAACCATGGAAGTGAAAACTAGAACAAGTCTCTGATTTCCACCTCCCTGTGCACACCTCCCCATGCGCATCCCCCCCAGCCGCCACCCCAAATTGAAGATGATAAATTGGCTGACAACAGGCAGTTGTCTCTGGGCTCTGGGCAGATGCAGCTTACTCAAAACTAAAATATTGAGAAGTCTTCCAATCACACTTAAGAAGACAAACAGTTTTCATAATGGATTTACAAAAGGTGCTTTAGAAATAGGACAAATGAACTGAGCAACTGGTTCTTTCACAAATCTCACCCCCAACTCCAACTGAAATCTAAAGCGCAAATGCCAAACTTGCAAAAATACAATTCAATTAGAACTGCCAAAAAACCCAATTGTAAAAACTGTCAGGTGTTTTCCCTGAAGTGAGTTCAAGCAACCAAGACAGACATTATTTGGAACCATGTGGTTTCTAAGAAATGCCTTGTTTAATTAAAAAGTTCCAGTGTGCCTTTTTGACTTTCTTTTAGAAGTCTGATATATCTGTGCAATTCTTCAAACTCAAGTCCCCAAAAATGATTAAATGTGAATCCATCATAACACTGAGCAGAGTGCATAGGGGAACATTGGAGAGTCATGAAGGCGACATGTCTTTTCTTTCAACTAAGTTACAAGAAAAGAAAACAAGCTCTACTAATGCACATGACGTTTGTCCTATCCTCTTTAATTTTCATTTATGCACTCTTCCCAACGTGTCATTTGTATCTGAGCAGAACAGAAAATCTGCTCCTCTAGCTTTATTATTACGATACTGTCTTTTTGCCTCTCAACTCAACCCAAATTAAATGGGATGAAGCCTTCCTTCCTCTGCAATTTCAGAGGTCTGTAATGTGAAATGATTTCAGTCAGTCTTAAGCAAAGCCTTGTGGATGGAGACAACCAACAGTGTAAAACCACTAACTTGGACACTAACTTTCAGTCTCAAAATGGGAAATAGAAGTACAATGCTTTTACCTAAAAGGAACTCATTTTAGATTAGGCCTAAAGTATGTAGAAGCAGATTAGAAGGAGCTTTGTAATTGAAAGGCTACATTCTACCAGCAGTTGTCTGACAAGAATACATTTAAATTTGGATTATTCTATATTAGGCTGTCTTAACGAGTGTTTTTTAATCTGTGATTTTATTAGAGGTGTTCATTTTAAATGGGTTGAATCTTGAGTTCCTCAATATTGCTTATTATTCTAACAGCTAACTGCTATTCTGCTTTAAAATTAACGAATAAAACAATCACAGGCTGGGAGTAGAGAAATTCTGATGTTTAGCTACAATCCCAAAATAGATGGCTATCCAACTAATTTGAAGCTAAGTGTGAAATAGGAATACACTGTTAAACACAGTTAACAATATTGATTATGATGGGTACAAAATTGACAAAATTAAACTTGTTTCGTGTTCCTTCAGAATAAGAAGAAACAATAAAATTATGTATTACCATACAAATGAAGTAACAGACCCTTTGCTGGTTGCTTAGTCTTTGTATACTACCTTTTGGAAATCGTGCTTGTATCAGGCTTTTAGATTGTATAAAAGCTATTCTGAATTTTTGCAAAATATTTTGCATTTGACTTCAGATTATAATTAAACAAACATTGAATTTTTGCCTTCATTCTAATTTTAATTTTCACTTTTGACTTGTACAGCTTGCACAAGATGAGTTGAATACAATTGATGATGACTTTGTCAGCCTACAGAAAAGGTGGTATAATTCACCCAATGTGTCAAGTGAGTCAAGAGGATACTTTGAAACAGAATTCGGTCTGATTGGCCAGAGACTGAAGAATGGCAGTGATTTTTCGTCTGCCTATTTAGAGAGGTGAAAGAAATTGATAACCATGTTTTATAAACTTTAAGTGACATGAATGAAACCACAACAACCCGTGTGTGTGTGTGTGTGTAAAATATGTACTTCATGCAACCATAAATGTTAAAATATGTTTTCTTTCTTTTGCTTAATTCTTTTGTCTACTGTAGGTTTCCATGTTTGGAATGCTTTTCTAACCAAAGGTGTCAAGCAGCTCCAAATGCCATCTTAATTGTTATCAGATTTTGCAATGTTAAATAGGCTGGATTTCACAGTCAGCATTGCAGTGATGACTGACATTGTGCAAATCTGTCCACGATCACTTACTGTGAGCCCCATGGTGAGAATGTCAGTTACCTTAAGGGAAATGTTCCTTCCCTGCATTGGCTGTCTTGGGGCCTAGAGTAGCATAAGTGTGGCTAACTCTCACTGCAGGACACACTGTACAAAGTAGCCACAGCAGTAAAAAGGAATTAGAAAATTAGATCAACTAGATTTGCTTAAAGTTGCAAAATTTTAAAAATACAACCTTGCAAAACTAAATACCTTAATATTTTTCAAAAGTACAATATTTTGATCAAAAACTAGCAATTAGAAAGCCTGAACAATCATGCTGAAAGCATGGATTTTCAGGTTTTAAAAATTTTAGCAGCTTTCATCCTAGAAATTCAATCAATTTAAACTTATAAGGAGCATTTTTTGATCTGCGCAAGAAGCCTCCCTTGCTCGGAAATACCGGGCATAACACTTTAAAGTATAATTATTTTATATTTAATGGACATGTAGCCCAAGGTCATTGTGGATTTTTGCTTGCTATTTGAAGAAATGAAGCCTTGGAAGTAGAGCTGGAACTCGCGTACCACAGTGTACCATCAAAAAGTTGCAATACCCTTGCTGATATCTAATAACAAAGCACTCAGTGCATTGCCATTATCGGTAACACAAATCTAGTCTAATAAATTATCCGCAATTGCCTGTTTTGGCCTCTTTCTCAGAAAATGTCTGAGACATTGGTAGGACAGTGGGGTTCAATAGTGCTCAGTAAGCAGGGCCCAGACATCTAGGGTCTGTTCTGTGGGGCAGAACCCACTGTGCCCAGCATGAGTGTGTTGGGCCCAAACCACGGCAGCACCAGGACTCTGATTTCCATCTCTGAGCCTGGTAAAAATCATGTTGGAATGTTTTTGTGAGTCATTGTTAATTGCTTGTTATTATATTCTTGCATGAAAGCACTAATTGCATTGATTTGTTTTTAGAATGAAGGCCTTGAAGTTACTCTTCCAAAATATTCTTGAGGTAGAGGATGTGATAAAAGTTTATGAAGCGAGATTAACTGAAGAGGAAACAGTCCCGATGAGTTTGGATAAAATAGAGTCGTACAGAAACACTCTGAGGGTAAACCGAATCTTATCAGAACTACTTGTGTTACTTTCGGTTCTGTTCCAGAAGACATTGGAAGTAATTTCTTCCTCCATCAGGTGGTTGATTATTTTGCTGGAGTGGGTTGTCAAACCATTGTAGAACTTGCCCTATTTTGATCACTCCAATTTCTAAAAACACGATGTAATCTACACTGAGCGATTATCACTGAGTTACATCTTAGTAAACAAGCATACGCCCTGCAATACAAGGTGATCATTTTTGGAATGAAAACCTTAATATTGAGTATAATGTTTCTTTTCTTTTAGCTATGTGGAGGGCTCCACCCAAGATTGAACCTATACTCACTGAACAGTAGTTGTCAGTGGATCAACAACAGGCTAATGCTTGTTAAGAATATAAATTTTGCAGTATCACACAAATATGGACTGCAGTTTATGACTTTACTTCAAAAATGCATTTATCATACAGCCAAGTCCTAGGGAGAAACGAAAACAGAAATTGCTAGAAAAGCTCAGTCGGTCTGGCAGCATCTGTGAAGAGAAATCGGAGTTAACGTTTCAGGCCCAGTAACACTTCCTCAGAACTGATGCTAGCTAGGAAAATGTTGGTTTTATGCGGACGATAGAGTGGAGGAAGTGGGTAAGGAGTAAACAATAAGTGGAGATAGAGTCCAAAGAGAGAGAAGAATCATTGGACAGACAAAAGGAGTGGATAATGATCTGGCTGGGAGAATGAATAGCTGTTAATGGAGACTGTTAGTAGCTAACAGTGGGTTATGTGTAATAGCCAACTATGTGTTCACAAGCCTGGTGTGTGGGGCATTGGGCAAGCCCCGAAGTTATTGAACTCAATATTGAGTCCAGAAGGCTGCAGGGTCCACAAGTGGAAAATGAGGTGTTACGCTGAGCTTTGTTGGAATACTGCAGCAAGCCTGAGACGGAGATGTTGGCTAGGGAACAGGGTGGTGTGTTGAAGTGGCAAGTAACTGGAAACTCAAGAGTCTTTTTCTCGGGTAGAACTTAGGTGTTCTGCGAAGTCGCCATCCAGTCTACATTTTGTTTCTGCAGTGTAGAGGAAACCACTTGTGAGCAGCAAATGCAGTAGACTAGATTGTGGGAAGTGCAGGTAAAGTGCTGCTTCACCGAGAAGATATGTTTGTGCCCTTGGATACTGAAGATTGAGGTAAATGGGCGGATGTTACACCTTTGGCGGTTGCGGGGAAGGTGCCTGGGGGCTGTGGGGGTTTGTTGGGAGCAAAGGAAGAGTGAACCAGGGTTTCCCGAGGGGAAGGGTACCTATGGAAGGCGGACAGGGAATGGGAGAGGAATGTGTGTCCAGTGGTGGCATCTCGCTGGAGGTGGCAGAAATGGCAGCTAATGGTCTTCTGGATGTGGATGCTGGTGGGATGTTAGGAAAGGACAAGGGGAAACCCTATCGCTTTTGCAGGAGGGAAGAGAGGGGGTAAGGGCCAAAGTGCAGGACATGGGTTGGACCTGGTTGAGGGCTCTGTCAACAACAATACTGGGGAATCCTCAGTCGAGGAAGAAGGTGGACATTTCAGAGGCTTTCTTGTCGAAATTGGCATCGTGGAACATACGCCATGGAGACGGAGGAACTTGGAGAATGGAATAGAATCTTTACAGGAAGCAGGATGTATTGTCCAGGTAACTGTGGAGTCGGTGGATTTATAGTGGATATTAGTGGCCAGTCTACCCCCGGAAATAGAAACAAAGATTTCGAGGAAGGGAAGGGGGAGGAGTCAGGATGAACCAGATGACAGTGAGGGCAGGGTGGAAATTGGAAGCAAAATTGATGAGCCTTTCCAATTCCGGATGACAGCGAGAAGCAGCACCGATGATATAATCAATATATTGGAGAAAGAGTTGTGGGCGGGAGCTGGAATTGGTCTGGAACAACGAATGTTCCACGTACCTCACAAAGAGACAGGCATAACTGGGGCCTATCAGGTACCCATGACCACCCCTCTGACCTGAAGAAAAGGAGAGGAATTAAAAGAGAAGTTGTTGAGGTTGAGGACAAGCAGAGGAGGGTAGTGGCGTATGGGGACAGTTGAGGCCTTTGCTCCAGGAAGAAGGAGAGAGCCCTGAGACCATCCTGGTGAGGGATGGACATATAGAGGGATTGTACATCCATGGTAAAGAGGAGGCAGATGGAGACTGCAAACTGGAAATTCCAAGACTTGCGTTGTGTCAGAAGAATCATGAATGTACATGGGCAGGGAATGGACCAGGGAGAAAAGACTGAGTCAAGGTAGGAAGAGAGGAGATCTCTGGGGTAGGAGCAGGCAAATATAATGGGTCTGCCTGGGCAGTTCTGTTTGTGGATTTTTGCATGGAGGTAAAAGCAAGCTGTGCAGGACTGGGGGACTGTTTGCTTGGAGGCAGTGGGGCGGGAAGTGATCGCCAGATGGAATGAGGTTAGTGACTGTAGTTGATACAATGGTCTGATCTTCCCTGTTGGGGTCATGGTTCGAGGAAGATAGGAGGCATCTGACAGCCGGCTCTCAACCTCAGCAATGTAGAGGTCAGTACGCCAGACTACAACAGCACCACCCTAATCGTCAGGCTTCATACCAAAGTCAGGGTTGGGTCTGAGCACTCGGAGTGCAGTCAGTTTTGGGGGAGACAGGTCAAAATGGCTGAGGCAGGAGGGGCAGAAAAATTGAAGTGACCAATGTCATGTCGACAGTTCTCAATGACAGGTGCGGGTGCAGGTAGTAGGCCAGAGGGAGGGGTCCAGGTGAAGGGATAGTGTCGGAGGTGGGCAAAGGGGTCTGAGGGCCGGGGAGAGGACGCTTGTCCAAAGAAATGTGAACGGAGGCGAGGACGGTAGAAGAAGAGTTCGATGCCATGTTGTGCCCGAAATTCATTAAGTTGGGGATACAGAGGAATAAAACTGAGACCTTTGCTGAGTACAGAACATCAACATTAGAGAGTGGAAGGTTAGGAGGGATGGCGGATGGGGAAGGGGATAGAGTCAAAGGGAATGGGAGAGGAGGAAGGTTCCAGAGGGCCAGAGGGTATCTCTGAGTTGTTGCATCTTGTGCCTTGATGTCTGAAAGTCCTGGGGAGTGTTGCCGAACAAAGAGACCTTGGGTTACAGGTTCATAGTTCCTTGAAGGTGGAGTCACGGGTAGACAGGGTAGTGAAGAACGCGTTTGGTACACTAGCCTTTATTGATCAGTGCATTGAGTACAGGAATACAGGAGTTGCGGCTGTACAGGATATTGGTTAGGCCATAGTGTTGAAACGATTTACAAGGATGTTGCCAGGGTTAGAGGGTTTGAGCTATAGGGAGAGGCTGAATAGACTGGGGCTATTTTCCCTGGAGCATTGGAGGCTGAGGAGTGACCTTTATAGAAGTTTATAAAAGCATGAGGGGCATGGTTAGGGTGAATAACCAAGATCTTTTTCCCAGGGTAGGGGAGTCCAAAACTAGAGGGCATAGGTTTAAGGTGAGAGGGGAAGGGTTTAAAAGGGATCTGAGAGGGGAAAGATTTAAAAGCGATCAGAGGGTGGTGCATCTTTGGGATGATGTGCCAGAAGAAGTGGTGGAGGTGGGTTCAGTTATAACATTTGAAAGGCATCTGGATGGATACATGAAGAGAAAGTGCTTAGAGGGATATGGGCCAAATGCTGGCAAATGGGACTAGGTTAATTTAAGATATCTGGTTGGCATGGATGTTTCTTTGCTGTACAACTCCTACGATTCTAAATCATTGAAGATTTATTAAGTTAACACTGGGGCTAATGGTGTAATTATGTAAAATGCAATCATAGAAGATGGACATTTCACAGTCAGTTGAGCTCAACCCTTCAGATGCAGATGTGCTTAATCTCTCAATCTTTCATTACAGTGGTCTTTTATGCTCAGGTAATAGGTCTCTACATAATGTTCTCCATAACATTTTGTCTTACTTTTTTGGTTTTCCACTAGGTACTATTAATACAACATAGCAAAAATCAAAGAAGCTCCACAGTATAGGTTTCAGCATAGGTAGCAACATAAGCTATATTATCTATTCACTTCCTCAGAAAAGAATAAGTACAAAGTTCTAAACCTCTCATGGATTAATCTATCCAAAGCTGTTTTACATGCTATTTACAGATTTGTTGGTATCCTACAGATATTGTCTCTCAGCTGCATTTGAAAGGTTTTATCATTTCTGAGATTTCAAATTCAGAACAATAAAGGCAGTGTGGTAATCCTTTGGCATAAAATGGATTTCTCAATTATTTCTAAATATTAAGTTCTAACAAATTCCATATTCCCCTCAGTTTAATTATTTCAAGAGCTTTGCTGACCTTAGATTATTCAGCATAGAACATAAATGATCCAAAATATGTATTAAGACTATTTCTTTGCATAATAATATATCGAGTTGCGACAGTAAAGGATTTAGTACTTCTATTTGAAAAGAAAAACTATTAGCTTCTGAGGTTATGTTGTTGTATTTCCCTAACACTCTCATTTTACCCAATTTTCTAAAAGGGCCAACTCATACTAGATTAAAATTCCATGGGTGTTGCCATCTTTGACAACATCTTTGACCCAATGGCCATTCATACACTCTCAAAATTGGTCAACTGTTTCCTTGAGAGGGCTGGTGCAGCTCAACTTGATCTTTCATCCAGTTGTCCATTTGCTGTTGCTTGCAGTCGCTACTCATTGAAATGTCAGCTACATTTTCTACACTTCTGTAGCCTGATAATCAAGGGGTTTTCCAATGCTGTTAGCATTCTGTCTCTCTCGCTCTACCTCAGCATCCCGTTTTTTTAAGTTGATAAGTTTCTCATTGATCTCTGACAAAAAGAATTCCCATTAAACATTTAGTTCTCTTTTATCAGGACAGCTGATTGTTTAGTTGCAAATGTATGTTTTTTTTTGCTAAAAAATGATTGTAAACTTTCCTGTGAAAATCCCAAATGGCCAAAGCATTCTGAAACAGAGTAGATATATTTGCTGTCATTGTTTTTTATGCATATTTTACTTCAGATTTTCAACAGCCTTTAAAGAAATGGCATCATTAGCAGACAGTAAACACAATAGGAATATTATATATTCGATATAGTAGGATCATTTTCAGGATGGTGGCTGTTAGGAATAGGATACTGCAAGGATCAGTGCTGGGTCCACAACTATTCACAATGTGTATGAATAATCTGGATGTGCATACAATTCTAATATGTCTAAATTTGCTGATAACAGAACTATGTGGAAGTAGAGGTTGTGAGGAAGATGCAAGGAGGCTTCAAGCAAACTTGGACATAGGCTAAGTGAGTGGGCAAGAACATGGCAGATAGAATATAATGTGAATAATTTATCCACCTTGTTGAAAAAAAAATGGTATTTTGTAAATGGTGTGTGACCGGAAAGTGGTGGTGTCCAAAGGGATGTGAATGTTCTACTTCATTAGTCACTAAAAATTAGCACGCAGGTGCAATAATCAATAAGGAAGGCAAGTCATTGCAAGGTGGTTTGGGTACAGAAATAAAGATATCTTTGGCAATTGTATAGAGCCTTGGTGAGACCACATCTGGAATGTTGCATTTTGCTCTCTTTATCTAAGAAAGGATATACTTGCCTTCAGTGTGTGCAACATGTGTTCATCATACTAATTCCTGGGATGATGGTATTGTTTTATGAGACGAGATTAAGGAAACTGGGCTTGTATTCTTTAGAATCTTGAAGAATGAGAGATTTAAGCTTACAAAATTCTTATGGTACATGACTAGGTAATCAGAATATTTTGCCAGCAGGTGAGTCTACAATCAGGGGACATGATCTCAGAATGAACGGTAAGCCATTTAAGACTGAGATAAGAGGAATTTCTTCATCCAGACGGTGGTGAACTGTTGGAATTTTCGACCCCAGAGGGTTTGGAAAACAAAAATTGATAGATTTCTGAAGAATATCGCAATATCGTTTGATGTGTTTAGTGTGAATATGCAGCAATCCAGTTGAATGTTGATGCAGGCTCAATTGGTTGAATAGCTTACTCCTGATCCTATCTTCCTACATTTCACATCCTTTTGATTTCTTTCAGTCCCAATAGAGACTTGTATTTCTTTAGCATTTTTCACAACCCAGCATATTTCAAAACTCTGCTGCCACTTAAGAGTGAGTGCACTTGTAGAAGTACTTGTAAAATAATATTGCTTTCAAGTAATGCACACACAACATGAGTATTTCAGAAATGTTTAGAAGGTCCGGTGGATGTTGCTCGTGTCCCAGTCCTGGTCCACCAGCATGTCCATAGCAGAATCTGAGAACCCCAGGACCCTACAGATGGTCTGCCAACACAGACCTCTAGTTATAGTTCTCTATGGTTCTGTCTCTACTTTAGACAGACCCTTTCAGCCAGTGCAGGCACTTGAAACTTCAAGCAGCACCTAAATTTCTGCCTCCCTTTCTCTAATCAATAAGCAAAAATAAGCACACTTCCAGCTAGCTGGTGGGTTAAGTTATTTTGAGGAGGATGAGTCCAGAAAATTGCATTCGATTCCTCTGACCTTGCTGGGTTACCTTAAATTGTGCCCTGTTTATCTACTGCTAGTTCTATGCTGGCAGACCATCTAGCATTAATGTTTTGAACTAAAAGTCAAATCATGTAACCTTGGGTAAATAACACCCAATATTTTTAAACAAAATCCATTTAATTTTTTTACACATTTCTTAGAAAATGAAGAGTGAACTGGATCAGAAGAAGAACTTAATTATGATAATGCAGCAAAATATGCAGGAATCCCTTCGGATCAATGGTGACATCATGCCATCTTTCTACAAGTGTGATATAGACCTCACTAAATACAATGAAAAAGTCATGCAACTATCTGACCGATGGCAGAGAGTTAACAAAGAAATTGACAGCAGGTTGGGTATTGCCGTTTTATGAAAGAAAATAATGTATTTGATTATATTGTTTTGGCTCAGTTTGTGGTAACCTTGTTCTGAATAATGAGATTATAGGTACAAATTCAATGTCATCAATGCCCCGGAAGACTGAATTTCCAAAAACTATAAGATGATCTGGGTTTTAGTTCTAGATTGAGGAGACATTGAAGGTAAGCAATACACAGCGAAGATGTATCCCAGAGTGGAAGGGTTCTAGGAAGGGGATAAACAGACCATTATTAACCAATGGCTGAGGAGTTAAGGACAGCATAAAATTGAAAGAAAACTCATATAATATGGCAAAGACTGGATGTATTTAAGGAGAATGGGAAAGTTTTTTAAAAAAACAACAGTATAAAATACACAAACAACAATAAAAAACAAAAGATTTTTATGGAGCTTGATAGGGTAGATTTGGAGAGGTTGTTTCCCTTGTGGGAGAGTGTTGGACCAGAGGGCATAATCTCAGAGTAAATAGTCCATTTAAGACAGAAATGAGGAGGAATTTTTTTCTAACAAGGGTGATTCTGTGGATTTCTTTACTGCAGATGGCTGTCGAGGTTAAATATATTCACAGTTAAGATAGATAAATTTCTAATCATTAAGGGAATCCAGGATTATGGATAAAAGACAGCAGAGCGGTGTTAAGGATTATTTGATCAGCCATGATCTCATTGATGAGCCGAATGGCCCACATCTGCTCCTATAACTTACGGCCTAACCAAAAAGATAACTAATAGATTATGTTTGCTACAAGTCTATTCCATTGAACCTGAAGAGAAATGTACTGTAACGTACCAAATCCTGCTGGAAAACATGTCTCCATGTAGGATTTGTTTCTATGTATCTTTTTTTTTTAGAGCTGATACATTAAAAAAATTTGTAAGAATTCCTGCCTGATGGAAAGTTTCCACCTTGGCAGTGATGAGGCTTTGGGTTCACTTTGCATACTGGTTGTTTAGTATTATTGTTCTGATTGTATGTTCTTTTTTGCCTCCTTTACTGACTAGAGGCTAAGACAATGCTAAGCTGTTCCCTTATAGTAGGCCCAGCAGAGAAGGGAGCTTAAAATTCAGTGACGGAGAAACATATAAGCTCGACATTTCTTAACAAAGGAAATAAATAATTAAACCCACTTCACTTGCATTCCTGCTTTGCAAGAGGCAGTGCTGGTGAGGGACATGGGTGGACTCCCAAAACTTTCTCAGATTGCATTGACTATAATTATGTTGTACTTGAAAAGATGTTGAGAGGGTTTCTAGCTCTGTAATCAAGTAAAAATCTGGGTACCTGTGTCCAAATTTCTTGGACCCCTCAGAACAGGGATCATGTCTTTAAAGTGTAATGCTCCCAATTTAAGGATATTGAACGGGATCAATCTCCTGAATTGACTTCAATACCACTCGAGTTGATAAAATAGCAGGTTCATTAATGACATTTTTAAATTTGTTCAAGTTTAGTGCCAGCCAGTGTTGGCTGTCAATAACACTTGCTTTTCCAGTAGAGATAGCAAGAACTGCAAATGCTGGAGTCAGATAACATAGTGTGGAGCTAGAGGAACACAGCAGGCCAAGCAGCATCAGAGGAACAGGAAAGCTGATGTTTTGGGTCAGGATCCTTCTTCAGAAATTGGGGGAGGGGGGCTCAGAAATAAATAGAGAGGGGAGGGATGGGCCTGGGGAAGGTAGGTGGGATGGTGATAGGTGAGTGCATATAGGCAGTGGTCAGGATTGGTCAGTGCGGTGGGAGTGGTGAATAGATGGGAGAGAAGATGGACAGATTGTGTCAGGTCAAGGAGGTGGGGATGAGAGGGACGGGCTGGGGAGATTCATTATACCAAGAAACTGGAGGAGCAACACCTCCTATTCCGCCTTGGGAGCCTACAGCCCGATGGCCTGAACCTGGATTTTTCCAGTTTTAAAATCTCCCCACCCCCGACCTCATTCCATAACCAACCCTCCCTCTCAGCCCCACCTCCATGACCTTTTCCAGTAGTTGACTTAATCTGGGGGAAGATTGTAGTTTCACTAAATTTGAAAAAATGGAATGAACACTGCATGATATATATTCCAAAGCCATGCTCAAGTTACAAATCCAAATGACCTCTCTGACATGCATCTCCTCTAGTTCCCTACTGGAACCTCAACATTCCTGAGGTTGTGATTAGAAACATTCATAGTGTAATTTGGTTAATAATTCACAACAAAAATCATCACATTAACTTGTAGTTAAATCATTTTTTAAAATGCATTATTATTCTTGTGGAATTAGTCTTTTTTGCTTTCGTTATGCAGATACTTGGACCTAGACAAGGAATATAGGCAGCTAAAAGACTATGGAGATTTGTTTCAGAATCTGAGCAAGTGGATTGATGTAACAAAACAGAAACAGGATGGGTTGCAGGCCAATAGATTTGGGGACACAAATGCAATTGTGGATCAGCTAAATGAGCAGAAGGTTTGTATGCCATTTAATATTTTGTACCATTTGCTTTCTTATAAAATGACTGTCCATTCATTGTATTAGTTTGAAACTGATTTTGAAATGTTAAATCCAGATAGACTAATGCAATGAAATTTCCAGATTATATGTTCTACTAAATGTCAATGCGGAAAATAATTGTAATTCATGGGTGCATATTTCTGCAAAATAATAAGAATTACAGTATTACACATTCAGTATTCCTTTGGCTTTGATGTTTACATTGCAGACCATGAATCATTCAAATTATTCTTTATGCTTAAGCAGATACCTACAGATCTTTGGTGGGGGCGGGGGGGCCTTTTGAACTTACAGTCATTAGGCATGCAATGCAATGTGGCAAACCAATCAGTTTGAAGAATCATCTCTAAGACACGAAGAGTCCAAACCAGGAAATTCACATCATATTTTACAGAAAGACAGATGAGGTTGTGTGAGAGAGAGGTAATAGAAAAAAATGTTTTAAAAATTTTTCAAATTCTCCGAAGACATTGGGTCTAGGCCCGAAACGTCAGCCTTCCTGCTCCTCTGATGCTGCTTGGCCTGCTGTGTTCATCCAGCTCTACACCTTGTTATCTGACGTTGTGAAGGAATTGATTTCACACTTGTAAAATTAAATTTTCAGTGTCAGAGAGGCTGTTTACACTTCTAAAATTCTCTTGCTCCGAAATGCACCAGGGTTATCTTTGTCTGCCCTGTTAATAGACATCTAATGAGCAAATACAGCAACCTCATGTTCTTGCTTTGGTTTCAATTCCGGTCTGTTAGTTAGATGCTCTTATATTGATTTCCTGTGAAAGAGCAGCATAATTGGAGCAGTAACTTCTGGTTTTCCAGATTTGATAGCTTATGTGCAAACTCCAGAGATTTTTGTTTGGTGTACTTTAGAAAAACAGTCAACATTCATAGCTTCAGCATCTCTTTCAATCAAAAATATGGACCATGAATTATACACTCGCACACATTTAAAATAAATTTAGGACCTTGGAGACTTGTTTTAGTCTTTCCACATCTCCCTAGCCCCCAGTGCACCCGCATGTGCACACACATCTCCATATTTTCTGGTCTTTCTGGGGCCAGTTCATTCTCTTACTTTCTTATGTAACCTGCTACAAGACTTTACGTTATGATTTTTTAACGTATCTTCCTAGTTTTTCATGTCCCTCTCCGACAAGTCAGGCATGAGATTGGAAACTCATTGATACACTTCCACTTGAAATCCACCATATGAGCATTTATATTCCTTCTCCCTTTTGGCTCAGTTGTCTGTCAGAGTGTAGCTGAGTTTGAGGGTTTATGAACACCTAATGCACCCCATTACCCTGAGTGCACGATAGGGCAGGTAATCCACCTGCTGTTGAGACCTCTTATGCCTGAAACATTAGTAATGAACTACTGTGATAAAACATGAACCAGGGAGTTTTCAACAAATTGTATTTTTATAGCATGCCTAGCATAATAATACACCCTAAGACATGATGTTGAAGTGTTGTCAATCATTGACAGTTATTAAGACAGATGACAGAAGCTCGGTTAAAGAGGAAGGTTTCAAAGAGTGCCATTCAGGTGGAGAGGTTTAGGAAGGAATTTCCAGACATTTGGTCAAAGGCCTCATTTGGAATACCGAGCAGTAGTGGAGAGAGAAACAGAGTTAACATTTTAAATCAAATATGGTACCCCATAAATTTGCATCAATTCTGAAAATGTGTATTCATTCAGTTGCCTACCGTTCAATATTATGAATGAAATGGGTTAATTTTTATATTATTTTCCTGTTTTGGTGCTAATATTTCCTTATTGTTGAATAGAAGTTGTACGCTGAAATAAAGGGCAAAAGAGGCAATGTTGAAGAATACCAAAAACATGCAGACCTATGTGCAACATCGGTAAAGGTAAGAAGTTCCACTGTGGGCTTGTAGCTGGAAAGTATTATTTTATGTGTGAGAGTGGGATGTATCATGTGCATAATCTTATTTGTTAAACAGGATTACGAGCTGCAACTGGCATCATACAGTGCTGGTCTGGAAACACTGCTCAATATTCCAATCAAGAGGCAGCTGGCACAATCAATTTCCAGTAAAATTCTTCACGAGGTGCGTAAAAAAAATTTCTTGTTTGCTGCTTTTGCCTAAAGCTGCAGTATTCTGCAATCTATCCTCTAGTTTTAAAGATCAAAAGTTACTATGATTTGTGTTAATAACTGAATATTTAACCTCTTCATGTAGCATTTCTTTCACTGTTTTAATGTGGACTCAAACTGTTTGTTTGTTTAAGCCCATTAACCATCTGGTTGCTCCTACAATCTACAATAATCTTCCAGCCTTATTATTAATTTGTTAAGGTTTAAAATGTGTTTTTCAATTTTAGTCTATATCTTAGTGGTGTTATTTTAGACAGATCTACTGGCCACAATTCCCAACCCTCATCCATCAAACTCCAGCTTCCACTGTCAGGAGCAAACAGTAATGTTGAGATCGTTATTGAATGTAAACAACACTTACAGTTTGTTTGTTTTTGTTCCATTTCAGAAATGAGCACCAGCATTTTGTTTGATTTATTTTTCAGTATAAAAATCGACCATAGATTGAGAAATTCACCAATAATTTCCAAAGAAGTCTCCTGACTATCCACCTTAACTTCAGCCTGAGATTAGCCAACATGTGGAGCCCAGTGATCTAAATGGCTGTCAATGTTGTTTCGTCTGGATTTGTGCCAAAGTTTAGGAAAAGCCCATAGAAATTCAGTCCCACTGTTAACTTTTCATAATATACACCTGAAGGGTCCATTGTTATCAAGCAGCTTGTATCAGATTTCTTTTCCACATCTGTCTGGTGTGCTTCCAGTATAGTTTATTTCTGTATTTGAAAGTTATCATGGAATCACATTTTCTATCAGCTATACGATGATCATTAAGATGTTATGACTCATTGTTAAGTATTTGTCTGCAGTTATGTTTGTACTGCCTTCATGTTTTCTCAGCTAATTCATTATTTAGATCATTAATTTTAAAGGGTGAGCACCAGTTAAAAGTGTTGATACTATATGAAAGTTAATGTTCACCAATTCCTCATATTTTCTGGTGAGAAATTCTAGAGAAGTTTTCTTCTGCTTGTGTTTGGACGAAAAGGAAATCTGGGTGTAGTGCGGAGTTAAATTCTGAGGTGGAATGTTTGTCCATAATTGAACCTGTCTGATATTCTACTTAGATATTCAATATGGTGTGAAATCAGCAATGGCGTTTACTCCATTCATATTTCCCCTGTGTGCTCTGTTCAGTCCATGCTTGATGATCAAATGCAAATTGATTAGACTGATCTTTTGTGTTGTTAGTGACTTTCATTCCATTTCAATCAAATTCCCATGTGGCAATTTTCACTCTGAACACAGGTGGCAAACTGGATAATGTACACCAATAATCTTGCATACCTCGTGCAATTAATAGTTCTTCTGTGGAAAAGAAAATCAGACAGGTTGTATAATATCTGTCTGCATGATGCAATTGTTGGAAATTGAGTTCAGAACAGTAAGCATGTGCTGTTTTTCCATTACTTATAGTGGTTTATGTTACAGATGCCCATGTCCACGTACATCAAGATTAGATCATCCAGGTCTGGTATAACTATGGGTCGCCAGTGTTACTTGCCACTTGGCTACCAAGCTGTAACTATCTCCAACAAGAGAGAATCTAACCATCTCTCTTTGATGTTGAATGGCTCTGCCATCACTGAACCCCCCACTTCCCCACTATCAATATCCTCACCATCGACCAGAAACTGAAGAGACCAGCCATATAAGTACATTGGCTAAAAGTGTAGATCAGAGTTTATAAATTCTGCAGCTAGTAGTTCACATCCTAAGCTCCCAAAGCCTGTCCACCATCCAAGGGCAAAGTCAGGAGTGTGATGGAATTCTTTTCCAGTTCCCTGGATGAATTCAGCTTCAGTAATACTCTGGAAGCTTGACACCATCCAGAACAAAGGTGCCCCACTTGATTGGCACCACATTCACATATATTCTACCTCCAACATACAATGTGTACCATTTAAAGATGCGCTGCAGTAATTCACCTTTGAAAGTCACACCTAGAAGGACAAGGACAGGTGCATGGAAAGACGACCACCTGTGAGTTCCCTTTCAAGTTGTACGGATCCATCCTTGATGGAATTATATCAGCATTTCCGCACTGCCACTAAGTCAAAATCCCTTTCTTGTGGCTCTGAGGGTGTACCTACCACCCCTTTGTAAATACCAGCCAATTAAGTGACACACACTTCCTGTGACAAAATAAAGAAAAATATCGATGATTATATACGTGTATATAAACATAATTCTTTATTGAATTAATTAGTCATGTGTTTAATTAATGTGGCTTATTTTTAATCCTTCAGCTAATTTATTTCACCTTCTTTAAGTTTATATATGGATGGCAGTATGGTTGATGTGTCACAACAGAAGCATGTAGATGTTTGGGGGATATTGTGAGTCACTGTTTGTTTGCATCTGGAGGAACATCATCTCAGAGGTCCAGACAATGCATGACATTAGGGCACGAAAGCGCTTTCTGAAAAAAGAAATTCCCAGCATCCTAGAGACATGTTTGGAGCAGAATGGGATAGAACCTTGTTTTACAAAGATGTAATAGGCCAGTTTTCAGAAATGTTTCTGCCTCCCTGCACTTTTACTGGAGGTGACTTCTGAGTGGTGGCAGCAACTCATACATTAGTGATGGGAAGCCAATAAAGTAATTACTAGGGGACACAAGTTCAAGGTGTAAGGGGGGGAAGTTAAAAAGGGATGTGCAAGGCACGCTTTTCACACAAAGGGTGGTGAGTGCCTGGAACGAGCTGCCAGAGGAGGTGGTGGAAGCAGACAGAATAGCAGCACTCAAGAAACACCTGGACAGATACACGAATAGGAAAGGAACAGGATGGGGTACGGATCCTGTAAGTAAAGATAGTTGTAATATGGAAGGAAAAAATGTGTCGGCGCAGGCTTGGAGGGCTAACGGGATGGTTCCTGTGCAGTATTGTTCTTTGTTTTTCTTTGTTCTTATTATCAAAGTGATTAGTAGGCAGAAAGCTGTGGAATTTTTCCTACTGTGCATTGGACTGCATGCAGTGTTTGCAGTGGTGCAGGAAATCAGCACACCATGAGATGCATTTGAGATGATCAACTTAAATAACAAACTTACCAGTCTTCAGGACATCAGACAAATGCGTTAGATGTTTGCTTGTCAACTGCATCAGTGACTGTGCTGAGGAAGTAGTTTCTGATAAAATCAGCAATATGGTGTCCTTGTCTTGTGTTGCCTTCTCCTTTTCCATTTCCCTCAGCAGCAGACAGCATTCATGTTCAGTTTGCTCCTGACCTTTAATGTAGGTGTTCTGATTGTCCTTCCAAAATCTTCAGGCTGCCTGCCATTCCTAATTTGACAGGTAATTAGTGGTCAAATAAGAAGTAGGAGGAGGCCATACTAACATTCAAACCTGCTCCTTGACTAGACTTCTTGACCCCTTTTGTGTCTAAAAATTCTACCAATCAGCCTTGAATATACTTTGAGTATCCACAGCCCATTGAAGTGGAGAACTACAAAATTCACGACTGGCTGAGTTTTTTACCCAGTTGAGATGTGAGTGTAACTGGCTCTGCCAGTTTTTATTGCCCATCCCTACTTGCCTTTGAGGAGGTATTGGTAAACTGCTGCCTTGAACTGCCGAAGGCCATGTGCTGTAGATAGACCCACAGTGCCAATGACACTGAATGAATGGATGTTTATTTCCAAATCAGGACGGAGTTTGGCTTGGGGGTGTGGTGGTTTTCCCATGTATTTACTGCCCTTGTCCTTTGAGATGGAAGTGGTCATGGGTTTGGGAGGTCCTGTCTAAGGTGTTTTGATGAATTACTGCAGTACATTTTGTAGATGGTACACACCACTGCTACTGAAAATTGGCGAAGGAGAATGTAGATGTCTATGGATGTGAAGTTAGATAGGTGAGTTGCTTTATGCTGGATGGTGCCAAGTTCCTTGAGCATTATTGGAACTGCACTTACCCATGCAAGTGAGAACTATTCCATCACACTCCTGACTTGTGCCTTGTAGATGTTAGACAGGCTTTGGGGAGTCAGGAAGTAAGCTGCTCACTCCAACATTTCTAGCCTCTGACTTGTTCTTGTAGCCATTGTATTTATATAGCAAGTGCAGTTCAGTTTCTGGTCAATGGTGACCACCCGGAAAGTTGGTTCAGTGATGATAATGCCTTTAAATGTTGCGTGATTGTTGCCTTGTTCTTACTGGCAACAGTCGTTACCTGGTATTTGTATGGTGTCAATGTTACTTGCCTCCTTTTAGCCTAAACCAAGATATTGTGCAGGTCTTACTGTATTTGAACTTTGACTGCTTCCATGAAGAAGTTCCTGGTTGTTGCAGCCCTCATGTCTTTCCCCTGATCAAGAAACAATGCCCCTTTGTTATAAGTTCTCTAGGCAGAACACACAACTTCTGTTCTCATGTAATGGTACTGTTCTGAAGAGTGAGACTGGATTGTTTCCATCCCTGAGGTTAAAGAAATTAAATGAGAACGTTACAGATGCCTTAACTGTAATCGTAAATTATCTTGTTTTAGGAACGGTTCCTTTTAATTCAGAAATTTATACCCATTCCTTTACTCTTTTAGGAAGGAGAGAGAGGACAGCCAGGGAATTATAGGCCACTTAACCTCTCAGGATTCTATTTTTAATGACCGGGTGACTAACCATCTTGAAAATTTTGAACTGATCAGAGGATCAGCATTACTTGTGTAAAGTAGAGCATTCATGACAAAGATAAGTGAATTATTTTTGAAGAGGTGACTAAAGTCGAGGACAGGGTAATGTCTGTGGATATCTTCCATGTGCTGCTCCTGATGGCATTCAGTAAAGTCCCTTGGAGTCTGGTAACTGAAGTAAATAGAATTTTCAACAAGCTAGTGACCCAGTTAGGAAATTGGTTGAGTGGTGTAGAAGACCGGCTAGATATAATGGGCAGCTTCTCTACTTGGCAGGATATGACCTCTCAAAGGCCGGCAGTGAGACTTCAACTATACATTGTATGTAT